AAAATCCAGTTAAAATTCTACAACTGATTTATGCTAATGAAAAATTTAAAGAATTAAAAAATATCTATTTAGAAAAGGTTTGTGATTATAGTGAAAAATTATTCAAATCAAGGGAATTTAAATCATTGGAAAAACCAATTCTATTGGAAATTCTCAAAAGAGATGATTTTTCTGTTGATGAAATAGATATTTGGGAAAACATTATTAAATGGGGATTGGCAAAACATCCTGAAATCAATAATAATAATAATGTTGAAGATTGGTCATCACAAAATTTTGTTGATTTAGGCAACACATTAAAAGAATTCCTTTCTCTGATAAGATTTCGGGATGTTTCTAAAGAGGATTTTCTCAATAAAATTATGCCATATCATATGCTTTTTCCTTGGACTTTATGGAAGGATATTTCACATTATTATTTACTTCCAGATAAACAACAAAAATTAAATTTATTATCATCAAGAATTTCAAAATTGAATTCAACACTTGCATCATTGACAATCAATCAAAATCTTACTTTGCTTTTTGCAAGTTGGATTGATAGAAAAAACCCACCATATAGTTCATTCAGGGAGGTCAAATATAAATTCAAACTTTTGTATCGGAGTAGTAGAGATGGTTTAAATCCAGTTATATTTCATCAAAAATGTGATAATATCAACAAAACTCTTGTAGTTGCCAAAATACAAAATTCAGATCAAATAGTTGGTGGCTATAATCCCCTCAATTGGAATGGAAAGGTGATTGATAAAAATACAACTGAAAGTTTTATATTTAATATAAGTAATAAAAATAATATTAATACTGCAAAATTTAGTTATGTTATTAATAACAAGTGTCAACATGCAATTTATTGTCATCCAAATTGTTTACCAGTTTTTGGTAGTGGTTTTAGTGGTAATATTGGATGTGATATTTATTTTGAAAAAAATGGTAGTATTTGTACCAGGCCATCAAGTTATGCTAATATCAATTTAGTAGATAGTAGTAGATTTGATGAATTAGAAGTTTTTCAAATTAATTAATTATATTAATTATTTATTATCTTACTATACTATTTAACCTAACAACAATTTTTCTATGTAATATTTGATAAATTTAAATAAAATAATGAGAATTCTTTTTCTGATTCATTAAATAAAGGCAGTAATATCAATAATGGTAATACTACTAGTAGTATTTCTTAACAATAATTATAATCATTAAAAAGAAAATTTCTTTTAGTGATTCGTTTTTTTTCTTTGCCGCGCTGGCTTGAAATGATTTGCAAAATGATTTGAAATTTTGTTAATTAATAAATAATAATTGAAATTTGAACAGAAATATTTTCGTTTTCCAAAAAAATGATAAACGGTTATGGTTATTTTACGTCACAGTACCGTTATCTGTTTTGGTTCAAAACGTTAGGGTTGAGCGAAACAGATATTTGACTGAAAGGAAATCGTGTTTCGTTTTAGATGTTTCTTGCGTGGTGTCGACCGCTGTCTACCGTTAGGTCTTCGTCTTTCTCCGACGTTTCAGACCGTTCAAAATGACCAAAAACTGATGGTCTTGTCTTGGAACCTTGTCACACAACATGTTAGTGACATTTTCTGGTCACGAGACCAGGGTTCAAAAACGTTTTATTTCGTTGTCAATTTAAAAAAAAAATGATCAATAAACAAACAATATATGCAGATTTTTTTGATTGTTCGTGTTGAATTAAATTTTTTTTTTTGGATTTTGACCATTTGAGAAAGATAGTGGGTGATCTGGATAAGAAAAAACCTTGATTTTGACTAGTGATGTTAGCCGGCTAAGAAATTTTTAAACGGCTTAGCCGGCCTGAGCCAATCAAATTCTATTCTCAAAAATAATAAAAAATATTCATTCATTCGTAATGCCGCCAAAAAAGAAAAAGAAAACTAATCCACAAAATAAGCAATTAATTAGTCTCAACACTCATAGCAAAGCAAAGTCTTGGTCTGGTGGGTCATTGCATAACAATATTAACAATGGGTTAAATAACAGTAGTAATATTAATAGTATTAGTAGTAGTGGTAGTAGCAACATTAATAATTGTATTAGTAGTAATAATAATAGTATTAATAATAATGAAACATTTGATTAATATTAATAATAGTGTTACCGGAATTAGATTTGGACGCTCTTTTGGCCGAATTTAACTAATTCCGAAATTCTTAATTATTTGTATAACGTCGTAATTTATTTAACTTTATCAAGGAAGAATCGTCTTTCCAATATTTCAATTTTGAAATATTAGCGCAATTTTGAAATAATTGTTACAATTTTGAAATATTATTACAATCTTGAACGGAAATTTCAATTTTGAAATATTAGAATTACTAATTAATTGAATTGTATATAAGGAGCTTGAATTCAATGTACTTGTAAAGTAACTTTCTCATAAGTTAATTAGTTTCGACTAAGAAAACTAAATAAATAAAATAGTAATATTTTATTTAAATAAACTTTCATCTTCTTTAACCAAAATTATTCGCTAATACCAAAATCAATTCGTTGATCCCCTATTCATTCTGATCCACGCGAAAACAAAAAATAATTGTTATCACCAATTAAAATACGCTCTCCCAAATTTAATCGGTGACAATAATAAAAATGGCCTGAAAAAGATTTCCTTTTTGGAACAACAGTTGGTTAGCAAGTTTTAAAAGGCTTTCACAAATAAGAAAAAAAATTGGCAAGATTTCAAAAAGTTTTATATTAAAAAAAAAATTTATTTTATTAATTTTTTATTTTAAACAATAATAAAAATTTACAAGCTATTCTAATTCTAAATCATTTTTTGGTGCATTACCACACCGATCTTTTCCATAATTAATATAACAATTTTTGTAATCATCTCTTCTTGGAATATGTTCCATTGCATTAATTGCAGAACTAATAGACATAAAGTTCACAAATCCACATGATGATTCTTTGACAAGATTGATAAATTCTGTTTTGCCATACTCTTCAAAGTCTTTGCGCAGTTTTTCCTCAGTCACTTGTTCGTCAAGTTTTCCAATATAAATATTACGAGAAGCACGTCTGGTATTCACTACATGTTTTATATATCTAGGCAATGGTCCTGGATTTCCCCCCCCAACCAACCTTAAGTCTTCTATTTTTGACCACCACACCTACTTTTCGTGCCAAAACCATAAAATTCGATGCACTATTTGGATCAATGAAAGTAACAAATGCAACATGTCTTCCTGGGATAAATCGAATATGTTGAAGAATACCACCACGAATAACATTACAAAGATCTTCACATGTGGTCTCAGGATGAAGATTTCCAAGATAAATAGTTCGGTTTCCAACATTTTTAATGGCCCCTGCAATATTTTCAACAATTAAGGTGTCCTGATTTTTGTTAGAATCATCTACTTTGCGAAATAAAGTACATGCAGATGACATAGCATTAAGATAAGGATTGCAAGCTGATGTAGCATTAAGATAAGGATTGCGAGCTGACGTAGTATTAAGATAAGGATTATGAGCTGACATAGCATTAAGATAAGAATTATGAGTTGTTGTAGCATTAAGATAAGAATTATGAGTTGTTGTAGCATTAAGATAAGAATTATGAGTTGTTGTAGCATTGGGATAAGAATCACGAGTTGCCATGTTATATTCTAATGCAGCAGCATTTCCAAAGCCTTGAAGAGCGATTGATCTTCTTGAAGGAGGGTTTTTCATATATCTTGCACATCTGTCTTTAGCATAACCAATTTTAACCCTTTCATATGCAGGGTTTGATGGTAGCAATGTAACCGCTTTAACAGCATTTGAAATATTCAAGAAATGAACATATCCAATCTTTCCTTTTTTGACAACTTCCACAGTATCAATAGAACCATATTCAGCCAAATCTCTATATAAAGTCTCTTCAGTGAATGAACCATCCAAATTCTTTAGGAAAACATTACGTGAAACTTTTTTTTCATTCATAGCTAATTGAACCCTTTCAGGTATAGCCGATGGTTCACCCCAACTAGCTCTAAGTTCTTGACCTTCATAAAAAAATAGTTTGGTCATTACTTCATCATAGAATGTTTTTGCAAGATCGGCACTCATAAAGGAAATCAAAGCATAAGAATTCTCAGGACGGAATCTGACGGACTCTAATGGACCAACTTTGATTTGATTTATAAGTTTATGAGCTTCTGCATCTGATGGTAAATTTCTAAGACATACAGTTCGACCAATAAGATTTTTAGTAATGTTGATATTAGCATCATCCGCTTTTGAAAATTGATTTATGGGCTGGTTTAATCTTGGCGTAGCTTTATAATAATAATCAGCAATTAGTAAGAATTAGTAAGTGTTTGATAAAAATATTTATGTAAATTAAAAACAATCAGTGAAAAATCTTTAATTTTCATTACCTCCTGCTAAAGGAACATTGTCGCTACTATTATTTGGATTATGCCTTGCTTTTTTAATATTATTGTAACTTTGATTACCGTTATTGTTACTACGTTTCATGATAAGATTTTGAATGTAACTTTAAAGTTTTGAGTATTAAATCTTTGAGAATACACGTAAACATAAAAGTATATAAATAAATAAATAAATTATATTAATTAAATTAATCAAATAAAATTATTAAAATTATTAAATAATGAATGAATTATTGTATGGAATGAATAAATTATAACGCGTTTTATCTAACGTTTAAATATAATATATGGTGACTGACTGTGTGCAAACCAAAAAAAATATAGTTGAACGCGAAAATCTTTCTTTTACACTGATCTTTCAACACTACAATGTAATTAAATCTCTTGTTTTTTAAAAAAATAAAAATAAAAATTACCTCTAGAAAAATATAAAGATTTTGTTGCACAAATAGAAAAAACAAAAATAATTATTTATATATCTGATACCCTGTAGATCATGACTCTAATTTGCCGGTAAATATTTTAATTTTATTATTTTACATTTTCACTCATTTCAGAAATTTTCACAACGCAGAATATTAAAAACTGGGTGATTGAATTGTCAAATAAAATTATCGGAAGTAATTTTATTTATTTATAACTTACTGCTCGATTTAAAGGCTGTCAATGAACTATGGCTTAGATCTGATAATCCTTTTATTCATCCAATAAATGGAAGCATCTAATATATTATTAAAAAAATGTCATTGTAAAAATAGAATAACGGCTAACAAAAAGAGGAGGAAGAAGTTGATATGAAAGACACAAGCAAACATGTAAATTAAGGGTTGAAATTGTGGAAAGAGAGTCGTTTATTTTATTGTATAAAAAATTGTTAATGATGATAATAATAGTATATTAACAATATTGGAATGGCAGATTATCAGTCCAAACCCAAATGATTCTATACCGAAATATAGAAAAGCATTAGAAAATTTAGAAATATCATTAATATTAATGTATTTAAGTTAGGATTCAGTTTATAAACTGCCGGTTTGACTAGACAAAGAAAGGAATGCTTTTTTTCAATTACGTAAATACATAATAAAAATAACAACCATTAGATTTATAACATATGTAGCAGACAAATATTCATATAAAGTTTAATGTTTTCTATAGTTCGAGCAATCTTTTTAAATTTCATCAGCGTATAGAAAGTTAGCAGGCACGGGATTTTTTCTGTAATATCGAAACATCCCTACCGCTATTAATAAATATAATAATAGTGATAGTGATAAAAATAAAAATAAAAATTGATCAAGACAACTGATCATTGAATCTTTTAAAAAATAGTTCAGAAAATTCAGATTTAAAAGATCTATTTATTATCAATTACTAGCTATATAAATAATAAATAATATTCATTAACTTTGCACTATATCCTCCTTTTTAGGTTTCTTGACCTTTTTTCCTTTACCATCTTTTTCTTCTGATTCCACCAAAACACCCAAACCTTCACCTTCAACACATAATTCAGAAATGTGATCTAAAAAGACCAATCCATCAGCGTCCACGTCTAATTTTTTAACAATCTTTTGAATTTTTTCATTGTCACCCGGTGTGTGCTTGATAATTCTAAGTGCCTCTTCTAAATCTTTGACTGAAATTTGCCCACTTTCATTGGCTTGAATAAGATTTAATTTTGAGCCAACTTCACTGTCATATTGTTCCAACTCTTTATCTATTTTTTGTATCATCTTTTCTAAACGCTCACTAAGACGATGTGATGCTTTGGACTCTTCTTTACCTGTTTCTTTTAATTCTTCAATATCCTAAAATTAAAATTCCATATTTATTATCATTCTTCACCTAATAACAATAATCATATCAAATAATTTTTTTACTTCTTTATATTCCTCTCTATCTTCCTTTATTTCATTCAACGCTTCTCTTTCCTCTAAAACTGCTGATTTTGATGATAAAATTGAAAGTGCCGCACGAAGTTCCTGAAGTTGTAGTTCAGTCATACGAGCATCATCCTCCTCTTTAATAACCTAATTAGTTAAATTAGTTAAATAAACAACAACGGTATTCAAATTTTTTTTAGAAATTCTTTTACTGACTTGTACACCTCCAGCTTTGGCTGCTTCTTGTGCTTCTTTTTGAGCTTTCCTTCCAGCCTCTTCTTTCTTAAAATCCCACATTTATTTACTTTACAATTAGTTATTATTCAAAATTTCGAATTCAAATTACGTTTTTAAAAGGATGTGTACATACCTCCTTTTGAGCCTTTTCTTCGGCTATTAACTCCTCTTGTTCCTCTATAACCTCAAGTTTCTGTTTGTAGGTTACTCCACCATCTGCCTCTGAAACTTGTTCATTTACCTCATTTACCTATTATCAAAATAGCCATTTTTTAGAGTTGCAAAATTGAGGGAAAAAAAAGGTTACTCAATCAATTTATCTTTACCAAATTTTCGGGCAAACTATTCAAAGTTGCTTGTAGTGCTTCAGCCTGATCAGCTAATTCTGCTCGATCAGGAAAACTAAAAGCTCTTGATAAAATTAAAAGCGTAGATGGAATTTTATGGTTTAAATGAAGATCCAACCACTGATTAAGTTCACTACGTAAACGAGCCGGTGAAACTCCAATTGTTCGAATGCCACGTGATTGGCAAGCATGTTGAAGTTCTGGGATAGTTAAAGAATCAACACCTTCTGACATTATCATCTAAAATTTATATATAAATTTTAGATAAATAAATAAAAGTATATAATAAATATATCAAAAAATTTTACCGCATCATCTTCCTCAATACTTTTCATTCTAGCCCTGATTTGAAATCTCAAAAAATTGTCAGTGCCAAAAGCATTGATGTTCATATAACGACACATGCTGACCAATTGAGGTCTAGATAAATTGTCTAAAGTCAATTCATCTTCAAAAAGGTTAGCAATACGAAGTAAATCTTCTGTATTGGCTTGCTCTCCAGTTGTTCGAACCTTGAAAATTTTTTTAATTACGATTAGTTAATCAGGTATTCAAAATATAATGAATAAGAGTTGTTGTTTTTGTTGTTATTTTTTTTTTTAAAGTCTTATAAATTTTTTTATCACCTTACGAAAGAATTCTGCAAATTCTTTTGCAGCTTCTGCTTTTTTAGAACCTACTGCACCAGTATCTTCAAGTGTTTCTTGTAAAAATTTTGCCATCTCTAAACGAACTTTGAGCAATTTTCTTTTTTTTTCTTCCTATGTATAAATTATAATACGTTTTGCATTAATTAAAAAAAACCAAATTAAATTTATTCTATCAAATCATTAATTAATTCCTTCACATATATATCTATTATATACCTTTGAAAATTTATCTTCAAATGTACTTGGTAACATATTTGGAAATAACTTTAATACTACTGGTAATAAAAATTCCATAAAAGGCACAATTATGAAGACTGCAAATGGAACAAGTCTGAATAAATCTGTTGTAGTTCTTCTCAACTAAAAAAAAATTGTCATTGTTATTATATTAAAAAAACTATATAATTTTAAGATTTTCACTAAAATTACTTGTCTGTATTCTCTGCGGGTTAATTTATGTCCTTTGAGCAATTTATACAAAAGCTTTGTTGAAATTTTTATTTCCAATCCCAAAAGTTTTGTTCCATCCCAATAATGTATTAATTCATCCTTGATCCTTATCATCAATGGTTTTTTTTTAATAGCCGTTGTAGATTTGATTTCATTTGCAGATTCATCTTTTGCTAATTGTGCATTTTTATGTGACAATTTTACATTTTCTACAATTTCCTTTAACTTCTCTTTTGAAGGTTCAGTATTTTGAATTGTCTGTAATCTGTTAGATAATAAAAACTGTATTTTGTTGGAGGTGTGAAACGGCTGAATGCTACGCTTATATTGTAAAAATGTTGCTGGTTGGTGGTTTCGTAGAATATTAGATAATTTAACACCATTAATTCGTGCATATGGGACTGTCTCTAGCAAAAAGAACCTCCGAGGTAAATAACTCATTTTGTGTAAATACAAAATTTTGTTACACGGAAAAAAAAGGAAAATTGACCCCCGAAAATTTTGATCATAATCATTATTATCCAAATTTAGAAAACGAAAAATTATCTGAAAATTTTACTTGAAATTTTAGCCGAGATATTAATTTTATTACGTGTAACAAATAAAAATAGGGTATGTAGATCGATCAATTTAATTTTTAGATTTAAAAGAAAGTATCCGGGGTTCTGATCTGCCAATTAAAATAATCAAACATAAATCACGTGACAATTAAAATACTTTTTCCATGCATATTAAATATGTAGATCATACGACGTCAAGTCGCTCCAAACGAATGTCATTTATGGTAAAACGGGGGAGTTGTGCATTGTAAATGATTTAAAAAATTTTTATGTTTTGCATATCAATCAAATTTATTAAATTAATAAAATGTCGCCACAAGATTACGTCGTTAATTAAAGACGTAGATCAGAAATCAATGAAATTTCCAATTTTGATCTCAAAAAAAAATATTTCACTGTTTTGCAAATCTTGAAGTGGCGTTGATTAGTATGTGCAGTACTACTTTTCTAAGTGGCACTTTTTTGACTTTACAATTAAATGGTTATTTGAACGCAAATTTTAACATATTGAAAAAAAAAAACAGGAATCTTCAACATCGAACCAATTACCGCCACAACTTCTGATTCCTCAACCAATAGTTTCGATATTATAGTCGAAACTATCTATATATGTGCCCGAAATCTCTCAAGGATTAGCCAGATGCGAAAGTCTGAAACTCCTATCGAATTTAAAATTCCTGGCCGAAACCTTTTTTATATAGAACTTGTATTAGGGTTTTTATTTGAATAAGGTTTATTCGAAAGTATTCGGATTACATTAAAAGTTTATTCGAATAAAGTGAGTAAATCGACAAAATGAAATGATTAGAATAAAATGAATAAGGTAATTCGAATAAAACGAATAATTCAAATTTGTATTACTACTACTACTACTACTATCTTTTTTGTCCTATAAAATATCACACATAATAATAAAATGTTCAAAATCCCCATAAAATAATTTAAAGTATAGTGAACAAAATAAAAGAAAGATTATTAGAATTCGTTAGAAACTGATAGAGTTGCATGTATTGAGAAAATTTACGAATAATTTTTGGAAAACTTTGTATTTACTATTACGAATAGAAACGCTTATTTATTGAAATTGTTGAGCAGTTATTAAAATCTATTTATATTACTATTGTATTTATTAAAATTATTAATGTAAACTAGGGTTTCTGATCAAAACTAAAAGTGATATTCGAATATTCATAATTATTATCACTTGATATTCGCAATACTTATGGTTAATAGAAACACTTATGACTATTCGAAATATTTCTGGTTAATCGAAATACTTACGTTATTCAACGGTTATTTGAAATACTTACGACCATTCGAAATACTAATACTTATTATATTATATCTGTTTAGAATGTTTTTCAATTTGAAATCTTTCTTGACAAATGGCAACTAATATTTTATGACTATTCGAAATACTTATGGTTATTCAAAATATCAAGGACTATTCGAAGATTTGAAATATTTATGACTATTTTGAAATACTTGCGACTATTTGAAATACTTATGGTTATTCGAAATACTTATGACTATTCGAAACACTTATAATTATTCGAAACACTTATAACTATTACTATTACTATTACTATTACTATTTGAAATACTTATGGTTATACGAAATTCCACCCATTACCGAAAATCATCTGATGTATTTCGAATATTCATAATTCTTTTTTGGATATTTGATTATTCGAAAAGGGGATTAATGATCGGAAACACTAACGTAAACACATTCATCCGTCATTGATGATTGATTTTTTACCAACTAAATCGGAAATCCAATCCAATTCCATTAGTGTGGTTAACATTTGGAACTTTTAAGAGTTTCAGCCCTATATAAAGGTTTCGACTAAGGTTTTAGATTTCAGCCAGGGTGTCGACTTGCCCTTTCAACCCGAATTCCAAAGCTGAAACTAGGCCCGAAAGTCTGAGGTTTAGGCCACATGTATAGTTGAAACAGAGGAAATGCCAATTTGATGATAAATATTGATGAAACCTCAACATATTTGGCATTAAAAGTTAAAAAAGATGTTGGGCCTTTAGTATTGTGGGATAAAAATAAAAAATTCCCCATAATAAAATTTCTCCTATCTCTACATTTGCAGAAATGTTGTTTAGTGATGTAACTATATCATAATATGTTACAACTTGATCATGTTTAATGGTCAGTTTTTAAAATGAATCATGTAGTTTGACATTTTAAATGTAATTAAATATTTTCAAAAGTTTAATAATTAGAATATAAATATCTTTATGTCAATTGTTATCATTATGAATGTTCGAAAGTATTACGAATACTCGCATTATTAATTACAAATGCTCAAAAATATTACTATTACGAATACTTGTATTATTACGAATCGACAGAATTATAAAAATAATAAAATCTATAATAATAAATAATACATCTATAATGATACATCTATAATAAATAATACATCTATAACAATACATGTGTTGTTTATCCTAAATATTATACAATTCATACACCGCGTACTTTCCTTACCATCAAATGGTTGTTTAAACTATTAGTCCGTGTTGATAATGGAAGTTCCGTTGAATATAATAAATCATCATTTTCACCCTCAATAATGTCAGTTATATCTACCTTGCCCAAATCCTTTAAACGGTTTTCTAAACTATTAATTTGTGCTGAGAACGAAAGTTCTGTTGAATTTAATGAACTATCACCTTGTAATTCATTAATAGTTTGACCTGTTAAATTAACAATATCGGTTATATCTACATTGTCTAAATCCCGTGTAACTTGATGAATATGAGGACGGAGGTCTGGGTTTCCTTGCCAACATGCTTTTTAAAATAAAAATTGATTAGTTTTAGTATTGGTATATATAAATTATTAAGCAGCATTGCTATTTAAAAATTTTTTTTGGGACTGTCAATTGAAAATAGTCAATGGTAATATAACCACTAGTAATTATTACCTGTATATATTTCTGCATATTTTCTTGGAGTTCCTTTGATTATTGCTTCACGTTCACCTAATATTATGGCAAGTATTATATCTTTGAATTTGATTGACTTATTTGCAAATGGAGCACAACCGCTTGAAATTTCCCATAAAAGCACTCCAATACTATAAATATCTGATTTTTCATTGCGACTATAATTTTCAGCATTGTTTAAATATTCTGGATCTGAGTATCTTATTGTACCTAATCTTTTAGAAGACTCTATTGAAGGATCCAATAAGGATTTGGAGATTCCAAAATCACAAATTTTAATATTTCCATTATGAATGAGAATATTTTTAGAATGCTATTTAAAATATTAATGTTAGTTATTATCATTAAAAATGCAAGAATAATTAAATATATATAAGTAAGTAACGATTGATTATACATACCAGATCTCTATGTACTATTTTATTTTCATGCAAATATCTTACAGCACTTGCAATTTGTTTTGCAAATTTTAATTTAATATTCCAATCCATTATAGTGAAATTGGATTTTAAATAATCACATAAATTACCATTATTTGCATATTCTAATACAAACATGTAATTTATTTTATTTTTTTCTTTAATGATATGTAAAAAATTTAAATTAACAAAGTACAATAAATATATTGTAAATCAATGATAATAAAAAGTCAGCATACTTTCTTTTGTTATGCCATAAAATCTTAATATATTACTGTGATGTTCTACTTTAAGATGTTGTTTTGCCTTTAAAAAAATCATTTGTAAATGTTTGTTAATATATATATAATAAATTATTAAATGAAAATAAAATATTCACCTCATTAAGAAGTTGTTCAAAAGTATATTTTTTGTCAATATTAATGGATTTCAATGCCACAAGTCCTTGATGATATTTTGAAGATGCACAAGAAATTGTTCCAAATGATCCACCATCAATAAATTCAATATTTTGAAAAGAATTATAATCAAGAAATAAAATACATTCCCTTTTAAGTTGATTTTTAAACCATTTTTCCTCCTCTGGAATAGATTCTACATTCATATTTAATAGTAATTTTAATGATTTTAATTGTAATTTTAATGATTTTAATAGTAATTTGAAGTTTATCATTATTTTTGTTTTTTTTTGTCTACTTTTCTCTGTCATTTGAACAACTGTGTAAAATGGTCTTTCTACGTTTAGAAATGTCTTTGTTGAACTTTCAACAAATTCATGGCCAAGTCTCTTTGTCATATTCATTCCTTCTTCACTCAACACCTCACATTCTGTATGCCTTTCACATTTATTTCCTACAAGTATAATTGGAATTTTATTAGAGCCTTTTACTCTTATTATTTGATTTTTAAGCTTTTCTACTTGTTCAAATGTTGAATGTGATGATATAGAATATACTAGAAGAAATCCTTCTCCATCTCTATATATTTATATGTATAAGTGTTTAATTCTAACAATTGTCATTAGAAACTTTAAATTTCTTTCTACCTGATCAATTGATCCCAAAGTGGTGTGTATTCCCCTTTTATTTAAAAAAAAAAGATAATTATAATTATAAATAAATATTCTATTGTTTTCAATTTTATTATAAGCAAGCAGCAAAGTATCACCTTGTGCTGCAGTCTCTAGCACATCTAGTACACAGGGTTGATTATCAATTATTGCTTGTTTTTTATATGAAACTGCAATTTTTGGGTCATAGGTCTAAAAATAAAATGAAAATATTGAATAGGTAGGTCACTGTATTCAAAATCAAATAAAGTAATAATTATTTTAGTTTTAATTCGTGATAAAAAGAAAAATTAATACAATTTGAAAAAATACATACCAACAAAATAATTTAACCAAGTTTTATAAGTCAATAAAAATAGCATATCATTTAAAAATTCACCAAAAATATACCATAGCTTAATGTATACCTGAATTGTGAAAGCAGTCTAATTAAATAAAAAGATAAACAAATTTATTATTTCATACAAGTAAAAACAATGTTTTTTAAAAAAAACCAATTTTGTTACCTTTCCAACGTTAATATCTCCAAGAGCAACAGGCTTATATGACATCCTCAGCTTAGAAAAATTTAATTAATTGCTGAAAAAAAAAGGAAAGGAGACAAGAAAAGCAAAAAACAGACATCATGTAAAAAGGTAATTAGTCCATGAGAAATCAATATTAAATAATAGCACAAACACTTTGTATTGCATATGACATACCTTTTTCTTTAGTATGAAGAGAAAGTATTATATGGAATTAGTAAATGTAAAATCCAAAACGTTTTATTGAGACACAGTAATGCTATATTTGGTAACTGTGAACGTGCATGAAGAATTCCGCAGAAATTACGTCTAGTGCTACGCCACACGACCCTAATTTTCCAAAAATGTACTTTGTACAAGCGCAAATTAAATGAAAAAATTTATGACCTTCAAGTAATTTGAATAACTAAATAAAGTAAATTGAGCAAAGCAAATGAAATGAATGAAACAAATAAATGAGTGAAACGAGTAATGGACAATGTTTTATCACAACGATAGATTGTATTAGTATGATTTTTTTAATTGTACGATTTTTAACGTACTTTGTTGTTCATTTATCACTTGACTTCGTTGTAACGCGATTAGTAATTATTATTATATTCAAAAATTTTATCAAAATTCGTTGTCATTGTAATACGATTTTATTAATAAATTCGGTGGAACAAAAGTTTTTTCTCAAAATTCGTTGTAACAAGGCTTGACTGTATAACAATCAAGCTGGAATCAAGATATCATTCAAAAGAAAAATCACTGCCAAAAAAGAACAAGGAAAAAATTGATTAAATTTATAACTTCAGAACTTCATTAAACTAAGATTGTGTTGATCTAGTCTTTTTTGGAAGACCAAAGAGTTGGTCTTTTGGGGCTGACTAAAGACTGTTCACTAACTCAATAGTACTTTGATGTGAATACATAAATTGGGGACATAAAGGATTGATTTTTTTTAATCTTGTAGCAACACCACTTTTATTTTCTGTCATATTGGAAGCCCCATCACTTCCAAAATGAATTATTTTTTGATATAGTATTGCATTTAAATTACAAAATGATTATAAATATTTTCTGCAGTGGTAGGTTCTAGATTAATTATGCCCAAATATCTCATATAAGGAATATTATGTTTTCCCACAATTGCTAAATATTTATTATTATCAATACTGTTGGCTTCATCAATCATTATATTCCAATAAATTGAGAAATTCAATTCTTCAAAGGGTGATTTTTATCATTACAGAAGCTATACTATCCAAAAAATCAGAAACAAATTTAGGATTCATATGTTGATCTAGGGGTAAATGTTTTTTCTAAAGCAGCAGGTTTCAAAGTAGAAGTTTTTTCAGTAATTATTAATTCATTATTATTTTCAACTGTAATGTCATTCATTGATTTACATAGATCAGAATAAATATGATTGCTAATTTTTTTTTTATTTATTTCATTTTGAAGTTGTGTGTTCAAATGCCTTTTGATTCCTTCTAAACTTAAATCTGATGTGCTTAGTGTAAATTTTGTACTTTCATTTCTACTTTTACAAAGTATACAAAAAAAAAGGATTGTACATATCTTCATTTTTTCATCTTCTAACCATGTATAATCATGAAACCAAATTTCATTAACAGTTTTTCTATAATGTTTTCATTGATAAACATTTTTAAATGGATCATTAGCAATAAAAAAGTGTTCTTTTTTAATTTAGATTTTTTATCGATTTGATAAAACTGAAATATCGAGTTTTAAAAAAGGACATCTTGTATTTAGGGTATTTAATCAATAAGCATCAATGACAAAAAATGGAATTATTCTATTATAGTAAAT